TCAAGCATTTCATTGTTCCAGTCATAAGTCCGTCATGTGTTTAGTGAATAAAGGCTGATAGTTTCGAAAGAAACTGTTTGGGGCTGCGTCGGTGGGAGTAACGAAATAATTTGGATATATCAACAAAGTTGAAATGGTAAATTGGCCACCGTAACGATTACAAAAGCTGACGTTTCGAGCGTTAGCCCTTCGTCGGAGCGAATAGAGGAATTGTGGGTTGTGTGTGCTTTTAAAGGCAGAAAATGGAGCTACGTTATTGGTGGGAACATGGCAACGAGAAAAACAAGAATAAATTAGTGGAATGAAAAGCGTTCGTTGATCCCTGTGGGATTTAGACTGCCGGTTTGAAAGATGAGCTTTTGTTCAAGATTTTTACGGCTTTCCGTGCTACCTAAGTGTAAGGAAAGACCGCAGATTGCCACATGTTGCTTAGAATGATTAGGTAAATTAAAATGCTTAGCGACTGGTTTCGATGTGTCCTTGTCATTCCTTTCCACGTCTCGAAGGTGTTCTCGGTAAGTAGTTCTTTAAGTAGTCTGAACGAAACGCGTTTGCAACAAAGAAAGTAGTCCAAGTGAAGTTCCCTCTTTTAGCCGAGATCCGTTGCGCGAGTCCAATAAAATCAACGAAAAATAAAATTGACGTTAGCACGCCTCGGTCGGGAAGGCCTCGGAGTGAAGTCCCTTTCGCTAAAGTAAATTGTATTTCTAAAAAATAAACCCATATCTAGAGAGCCAAACCTTGCTGACAAAATCTCCTCCAAATGTGTCTATTAACCATGTGAGCGGGCCCCTGTTTTTGCTTATTTGAAAATGACGTTGTGTTGTGTTCGACTCGCCTTGGGAAAAAGAAATGTTCTTTGAAAAGATGCAGTATTTAAAAGATTCATATATCACTTTCCTCCATGCTCGAGAAGTACTTAAGCCACTACTGATCCATTTAATTGCCTCTAATTGCTTTGTTTTTACCGATCAACAGGAACTCATTAAACAAAAGATGCCCCGATTCCTGATCATGAGTTTCCTTCCACTGTTTTTCCTGCTGTTTATGGTGGCCGTAGTTAGTGGACAAGGTGGGTCTTTAAACGATGTTGCCAGTTTTTTTCATAAGGCTAAACTGATTTTGATTTGAAAAAGAATAATATTAGATTCAGTTCGTTTGCATTTTCCATAATTTGGCTCGTGTTAAAATATTAGGGGCTACCTCTGAGAGAAGAGGAAAAATAGGGGTAGTTTCTTAAAAAATAATAATAATGTGGGCATCTTCGAGCATGCACTAAAACGGACTGATACGCAGATTAAAAGTAATAAATTCCAGACAGAAAATTGAGCATTTTCCATTTAATTGTAATGTTCCATGAAAATTATTTTGCAGATGAGCCAATTTCGCCCGAAGAGTATCAAAGCCAGATTGGTGCAGGATTTTCCACAAACTGGTTTAAGAGTAGGGCGAGGAAACCTATGGAAAAGTTCTCTGAGAAAAACATCAAAGACATCCGCGAGAAAGGGTTTAGTAACTTACGAATTCGATGCGACGCCGAACTGTATTCATCCAAAGGGTTTCTTGACTCTCTGACAACCGTTGTCGACAGTTGTCTGAAATACAATGTGATTCCAATCATCTCGTGGATTCACCATCGGGCAGAGGCCTACGCAACCAAGAAGGCCCAAGACGCCTATGTATCTTGGTGGATAGCGGTGGCACGGCAGTTAAAAGACAAGGACTATAGACTGAGTTTTAATCTCTTTACAGAGCTGGGAATAGACACTTGTTCAGAGGGAGAAACTGAGAAGGTGAAAATAGAAAAAAGTTGTAAGAACAGTCTCCGCAGAAACACCGACAAGTACAACGAGTGGACTAAAAATGTGACAAAAGAGATACGTGCTCTTGGTGGCAAGAACGCTAAGCGGATATTAATTCTGGCGTCCCCCGTAAAAACTGCCAAGGGCTTAGATAAAATCGACCCAGAAATTTATGAACGTGATCCATACATGATGGCTGAATGGCATCTTTATGCGTCAGGGCCGATCAAAACGCCTGGTTCGCAGAAGTACTGGAGCGGAGACGGTACCGGTAAATTTGGGGGCCGAGAAAATGTCAAAAAAGCAATTAACGACGCAGTGGAATTCACAAACAAAACCGGTATGCGGACGTATCTTGGTGCGTGGATGCCTCACGATAACATAAAAGGAAGCTTAAAAGAAGCGGAAGTCATCAAATTTGCCCTTTTCTTTGTCAAGGAACTGCGCAAAGCAAATATACCATGGTCCATGAACGTTCTAGATAACTACTACGACACCAGGGAGTGCAAATGGCGGAGAGGGCATCAGGTCGTCGCTGGTCAAAAATTAAACATGGCCAAGATTTTGAACAATATTCGAAAAGTGATGCCATAAGGCTCCCGCTTAGTTAAGTTCCCGTATGAAACTAGAGCTAACAAGGATAGTTTGAATTAGTTCAATTTACTGTAGAAGGCTAACTTAGGGCGAGATCTTTCTAACCAATTATTGAATACTACTGCTTTCACACTATACGAGTCAGGAAATAAAAGCCAAAAGCTTAATTAGTACTATTTTGATCGCACACTGCGTATATTGTAGTCTTCAAACGAGATGAGAGATTTGGACAAAAAGTAATGCAAACTGAGAGTTGAATAAACTTCTCAAAGAGAACACTTACAGAAAAGGTGACGGAGAATCTTGATAACCTTCTCAAGGTAGTCTCAAAACTTGCGTTCGACTCCTTTTTGGGTGTTTAGCGTGGGGAATAAACATTACTTAATCTATCCTTCTTTAAACTTCTGTAAGTTAATTGTTTTTAGACTGTTTTAAGACTTTCCTAAGTCGATATGACGGTGTAAACCTGAGGCACTTGACTTCCGGAAAATCGAAATAAAACATTTTAATAAGAGAACTGATGCAGTCTTTACATTTGCTCGTGTAAGAATTAGCGTATTGGGAGTGTTTTCTGTGTGCTTCAAAAGATATGCCTGAAACTTCATTTTTACGTTATCTGTTGATTTTTAGGGGAAATATGACTGTTCATATCTGAATTGAGTTTTTTTTTGGGAAAAAATTCATAAATTTATATATTCATTTGATAGATCGACTGAAAAAGGGGGAAAAAACAGTTAAAAGCAGAGTTTATTAGTCGCCTTAGTAGTTGTGGCCGTCAAAATGGAGATTAAGACTTGCAAAATACCTTTTTTTCATTTTTTGAAAGACAATCTTGATTCTCATGTTAGTTGGGGGCTCTCTCAATTATAAGGACATTTTTTACGAAGTTTGATGAGTCTATGTATTCGTTTTATAGTGGAAGCTGCATGTGGCTTTTGTTATTGTAGTCTTTTCTGGCTCATTAACGTTGCGCGTCTAAGCAGAAGGTCATAAAAATTTTGACTCAGATTTCCGAATAACCAAGATAGCGAAAAAAAAAAAAAACAGCAATAAGAAATGCAACACCAACCCAGCGAGTGCTCTAGGTTTCGAGATATTTGTCGATCATTGATTTAGTGAGGCATTGGGTGGAAGAAACATCATTCTAGAACATTGCAGTTACCTGCTATCGGTACAAAAAACAAGAACAAAATAATGTTTATCCATATGAACTTCGTAGTGGACCTTGCTCACCTTAGAGTCTCTAGCTGTGGTTCAGTCGGTAGAGCATCGGAGCTCGGAACCCGAAGGTCGCCTTTAATTTGGGTTCCGCGCTCCGATGCATGGAGACTCAAATATTTTTTTTGGTTTGATCGTGCACTATGATCTTCCATGCGCGCGTACTCCTGGAAAGGAATGCTGGTAATGATGGAACTGATGGTTTTCTACGATCTGAGCGGAGCTTGTTGTCCTTCTAAATCTTCGCTTGGTTCATAGATGACCTTTGTTCTGGCTGACCTTGTTGTTCCATCAAAGCGCCAGTACAACGTCACGACAATCCTCTCTATCGATCTCTCGCTTCTTTGACACAAACCATCAACTGATTTATTCTTTGATTTTTTTTTTTTCAGTAAGAGTGGTTAGTTAAAAAGTAGTGTGTATGCGAGTTTCGTTTCCGACGTCATTTTGTGATGGAAGTTTACTGATGCATTTTTTGCAAAGTTAACAAATTTATGTGGTTAAACTTAAAGAACGTATGCGAAAGTGGAGACAGGACTAATCTAGCTTGCTCTATGCTCTTTCTTCAGTGTCATGATATGGTACTAAAAGATGGTTCATTAGCGGAGTTTGACTCACCTTCGAACCTACTGTCAAGAAGAAAATTGTTTTTTGGCATGACTTGGGATGCAGGACTTACTCGACGGATGGAATTTAATTTTGCCACAGACCACAGATAGAAAGACTGATGCATATCAGCCGGGAGCGAGAAATGTTTTTCTGGCGTTTCTAGCAATTCCAGATCTCTACTTCGCGCCAACCAAAAGTTAAATGATTCACCTATGAGAGATCTTGGAATTACAAATCCAATCACGTAGCGACCATAAACTGCGAGAAATGTCGTGAACTCTTTTTTGTAAAGTATTTCGAGTGTCAAAATTAGGCCTCCCCTTTCCTAGCTGTTCGATAGCGCTCCTCGCAAC